TGTAATTAAGCCTTTCAATAGTTAAATCTAGCAAAGCTATAACAGAAATGTTGGTATTGATTTTTTCCCCTTCTTCCATAGAGGAGTGAAATGTCTTGCAGCACCTTGGACAGCACTATCATGACAGTTATTTATTGAATATTGACCCCACAAATAAGGGCTTTTGCTTTACTTGTTGTATCTCTTGGCAGTTCTGTTCTAACCATTAAAAAAGATGTCAAGACTATAAAGCTACTGACTGATATGGGGACATGTACTGTTCTAGCTTGTGCATTTCCCAAAGTAGTTAAATCTCATCATTAGACAGAAATAAAAATCTTTTCCCGTTATTGACAGACAAATGGTCAGAAATAGTAAAATTGTCACTTTTCTGGGACCTCCATAATAACTTGTTGTGTCTCACTTATATCATTTTAAAGCCTCCTCTTTTCCTTTGGTGGGAAAAAGATTCAATGTTGTATCCCCAATTAAATGCACATGAAGTAGAGAATACCGCATTTGTTAAACAGGAACTTAAAACTTCCTGTCCAGTAGTTCAAACACAGCTTTTATCATAACTTGATTTATTCTGTTACCTATGCTGTCATTGTTTGATTTATCTTGGGTTGTCTTCCTACCCGTCAGCAAAATGAGGTTTATGATGTAGTACTTATGAAGTAGTGAGGGTTTGAGTAGTCATGCCATTCTTTGCATTTCTATAGCTCCTTTCTGAGAAGTACCCACAGTATTGTAGCCACTGATAAACAGAAACACTGAAAAACAACTCCTTCCCCCTCTATTCCCCTTTTCAGTGTTTGGGCTATGAACGTCTCTGTATATTTTCCTGCAATTGTAGTTCAGTCCTTTGAAGCTGTGACCTTCAAAATCTGAACAAAAGTCTTTGTGGCTTAAAAGGAACCATGATGAGCTAAGAGAATGCCAAGCTGACTTCAACACAGACAGGGAGAGTTGGTTTAAGAAAAAAAAGCTACACAGCCTGTTAAATACAAACTAATGTTTACTGCTTTAATTTGCAGTTGGGTTGCTATCATGTTAAATGTTTACCTCTTTTGTTTAGGCTGAAGTAATAGAGGCACACTACCCATCTAATGGAAATATATAACAATGTTTCAGTCCTGGGTATTGAGGACTATGCATTGCCTCTTCTGTGGGGATCTGCCTTTCAGGAAGAGAATGCCAATTTCTACTTGTAATCTGCAGCCATTCCCCCTCCATATGATACTCAATTCTCACTTAATCAAGAGGGGTCTATATTGAAACAAAAATTGGGACAGAAGCTCAGGTCTGGCTCCTTGAACTGGGAGACAGTTAGCCACGTGTGAGCATACAGATCATTGCTTTGACGTGATCCAAAGTTAATGAAGCCATGATGCTGAAAGAATAGAAGTTGCTTCTACAGTTTCTTTTTGCTAGTACCCAATGAATTTGCATGGAATGAGATCCTGCTTACAGCTTTTTTTTTTTTTTTTTAAACCATTTTTTTTGAATGGTTCTTGGCTTGTGATTCATGCCAAGAATCACAAGTCATAAAGAATATATAATGTAAGACATATAATATTCTCCTTGCAAGTATATATCTAACCAGTACCTATGAAGAAATTATTTAAACACAGAAAGACAATCTTTTAATGGAGTAGAATTCTAAATTTGAAACATCTGACAAGATGTACTTTTTGCATCTAAGGGCAGGCTTTGATATCTTGGCTTTAGAAAAAGCCTTTTTATGTTTTCCTTTGAAGTGAAATTTCATCCTTTCAGTCTAGTTAGTAGTTGATCTGCGTAGAGTATGGGGGATGCTTTTAAAAAACAGAGGTCAAGTTTTGAAGGGAAATGAAGGAATAAACTCAGATGCTTATCACTAAGCTTATCATCCATGTCAATGAGATGCAGAGGATCTAGATACTTTTATCCTAAAAGCAATTTGTTCTGGAACTTGGTGACTGAGGTGTGACTCCTTATTCTGCTGAAGACTTCCTCTTTTGTCCTGTCCCTTGAACAAGTCTCTTAGGATCAAAGCCACAAAGGCTTTAAATTGAATGGAAGTAGGGTGAGTAAATACCTTAGTGAATCTTGGCCTTATTTGTTCTACATTAGCATGAAGAATACTTAGATGAGTGTTTTGATTTTATGAAAGACTCTGTGGTGCTTGTCTGCTATGTGTTTGGGGGGAGTGAGAGAGATATTTTGGTATGAAAGATGTGTGCTTGTTTTTCTTTGTCTTTCCCCCCTTCCCAACTCTTGCCTCACTAGTTTTTCAGTAAAATGTTACCCCCACACACACCTTTTAAGCAACAAATTTGACACACAAGTCAATGGTTCAGTACCATCCCAAGTCATAAGCAGTTGAAGGCAGTTATGATCTGTGTTGATGATATGGATTAGTCACATTTCACAGTTATAAGAGATGAATGTTCATGTGAATAAGACTTATAATGTTGGCCCACTTGTTGACTTTTCTACTTGAGACAGATGGGTTGGGGAGAAGCATTATATTTTTGTCCCACTAGTTTGCTGTTCCAGGAGAGAATAGAGGTGTTTTATTAGGATTTTGTATGAGAAGCCTCCTGAGAAATAGGGGTTAGGACTGCCAGTCTAGTACCTTTCCATTTGGGTTGATTCATCTGTGGGCTTTTTATAGCATATAGGCTCACTATTGTCTTCTACTAATCTTTAGGCACTTAGGGTGTATCCAGACAAGTGTGCATATGCAGTATGTGGCACTGCACACTGCATGTGCTGCACATCCAGGTGTTGCCCATGCTGCTAATATGCAGCACGAGGAGTTTTTTCGACATCAAAAGATCCCAGTGTCAAAAAAACCACCAGTGGAAAATGATTGGGCTGTGCATGTGGCAGCAGCTTGCACCACCCAAAACCAGAGCCTGCCTGGCTGGAGCCACACTCCAGCTGCTGGCCAGGCTCCCTCCTGCCAGATTGCTACCACTGGAGCCTTGGGAGGTCTCCAGACCACTAGTAAAAGTTCAGCTGAATATATGCTCCTAAAAGAATGAGGATGAGCATTGTCTCTGGGGAAACTCATGTGCCTGCATGTCTGAATCTGGCCTTTAAATGCATTATCTGGGCAATGCACAGCTCCCAGAAAACACAATTAAAATCAGATGAGCCCCAAAAGCTATATATTCTAAACCTGAAACTCTGTGGGCCAAATCTAGGGTCAGACACGTTAGTCTGAGATTGTCCAAAAAGTCTGCGGTATATTCAGAAATCCAACCAGAGATCCATCCAAAAATCCATTCAGTCAGAGATCTTTTGCATCCTATTTTAGTGTTTTAACCAGGGAGACATCTTCCTACTGTGGGCTGCATGTAGCTTAAGAACAGTTTTCTTACGTACATAAGCATTTCCATTTCAAGTCTCAACTATGATAAAACCTAAAATTAACAACATCTTAACTCAAATGTTTAGGAAAGGTAGAGGCTTCATTTGGCTTCATGCTGTGGATAAAGGTTCAGGTCACTTAGCAAGCAAATTGGGACCCAGCCTTTATTTTTGATGAAAAGTGCATATTGGCATTCATTTTGCATTTGTTTTTCTGTTAGACTATTTTGTTTATTACCAAATCCCTAGGAATTTGCATGTAAACCCTCCAAAATACATTAGGGGTTTCAAAAATGTGGATAGAGAATTATTCACTCATTGCTGCTAATTCACCTCAGCTTTTCACTGATAGCTGTGTGGCACTAATTTTTGGCTGCAATAGTTTTGCAGCAGTATGCTTCCATTGTGTTGGGGCTTTCTTACCCTGCAGGATGAATGCCATTAGGTAACAGAACGCCTATAAAACATACTCCCTTTCAGAAAGAATGGTGGAATTTGAAGCACTGGTGGCCTCTAAATGAGTTTCTAGCCTCTGGGAATTCACCTTTTTGCTTTTTGTGCAAGGCAACCAGTTTTTACAAAGAAACAATTTGCTGTTTATCAGTAGGGACGACAACAACAGAACAAAGCTACATGTTTCTAGGCTTCTCGGGGCTTGCTTTCTCCTTTCCTCTATGCTCTATTAATTTCTCTCCCTGATACACTCTGTGGGCTTGATCTTATTGCATCTGCCAAATGAAAGGAGTTCAAGAACTGGTAATTAACTAGCCAGATGAAAAAATGTTCTTTATTTTTTCCTATTGACAGGGCTCCATTAATGTGTGTGAAAGTTCTGTTTCCTTGCGGACTGCAAAGCTTAGCTAAAAAAAATCTTCTATACTTGTGCAACTTGTGTTGAATTTCCAGTAGCAGCTGCTGAAGAAATTCAGGAGACCAAACCCCACACATATGCAAGACGACTTGCGCTTCCAAGTGCTTTTGAAAGCCCCACTTTGGCTCACTCTCTTGTCCATCTTTTGTGTCCTAAATCTTGTAAGTGGAGAATGCACTGACCTGAGAGTGCGTTTCCAGGTGACCAAGGTAAATTTTTCTTCTACTCAGGGGCTACTAATTACTCTGTGTGATCAGGCAGCATATCCATTTAAAACCAGCCTCATATCACTGTGAAGGATTCTCTCTTCCTGATGCATTTCATTTAAAATTTCTGTTAATTAAAAGGAGAGCTGTCACCCACAGTGCCTTTGAATTAGAAATAACATGAATGACACAAACTGCTGCTTCATTCACTTGGAATTTAATTTGTTTAGTGCTTTAGAAATGTGATTTTACTTTTGTTTTTGCACAGAAAAGCAATAACTTTTTTTTTCCGGGGCTTAACTAATGTTTCTCCATCTGTGCTTAGCCTACACATTCTCTTTGTCAGGGAACTGAAAGTCAAAATCCAAACTCCTGGCAACAGTAACAATGGGCTTGATATTTATATTAGAATTGCAACATGTGGACATCTGTTCCGTGTACCAGTTTAAAAAAAACCCAAATAACTGATTCCACAGGCTAAGTACTTGGACTGTTCCCAGTTGCTACCCATTTTTCTGCCTGCTAGGGTACAGGGCTCAGTGAGCTCAGTGGTTCAGAATTACACGATGATTCAGCTGTGTGGGTTATGCCAGAGTAAGACATTTTATTGAGACATGTGGTTAGCAGTAATGTCCAAAATCAATGCAATTGTTGTAATACAAGATACAGATTGGTCTTCTGTGTTAGAATATCCTATCCATTCCTGTATAGCCTTGAGGAGACTGAGGCTTTGTGGAAAGGACACTAGATTGGGGCTTAGGGCTCTCTCCAGTGACACCACTATGATGCTTGTAAAGCTTGGGCAATTTGCTTCTTCCTGGACTTCAGTTTCACCACCTGCAAAATGGGAGATAGAGATGATGATCTGCATAAAGTCCTTTGAAATTGAATGGTCAGTTCTAGGTAAGAGCTAGACTAATAAAGGAGTTCGAAGTGTGAAAATGTCTTACATAGTACTGAATGGTGTTAACAGTGGAGGTGTAACATATCTAGTGTGAAGACCATGTCCTATATAAATGAAAAAAGGGAAAAGAACCATGCAAGAAAGGCTGCTCATCCTTTCAGGGGCATATCTTCAGCTGAACTTTCTCCTTCAGGGGCATGATCTCTATAGTCTAGCTCCCAGCCCAGACTGGCAATAGCAGTGGTGAAGGTTTTCAGTAGAAGCTAACACTTGTTAATATACTACTGAGCTACAGACATACATGTATACTCACATGCCCATGGGGTCATCAGGTCTATGACGCAAATGTCTCAGCTCAGCTGTGTAGTACACCAAATCCCCAAAACTTGAACCCTAAGAGTAGATATTTTACTAAGAGTCAATAAAAAGAGGGACAGGTAGATATGAAGAATTTGTAGCTATCAGCTCTTAGACATTCTTAGTCTTCTGGGAGAATAGCCAACCTTCACTACTCCCAGAGGGAAATAGGATAATTTTCACAGTGTTATCCAAGGAAGTAACAGGATCAAATGAAACTGAGAAAGAACTCAGCATACAGAGCAGTGGTCACCAACTGGTAGATCTCAGAGCCTCTTGCAGTCAATCTGAGGCTGGGGTAAGGGGCTGAGCATGCCCCACCCCCAGCCCAGGAGGTCAATCCATGGGGGAGGGAAGGCGTGGGGGCCAGATTGAGGCCCCTGTGGTGAGGTTCACAGTGCCACAGAGGCAGAAGCAGGGGTAAGTTGAGTGGGGCCCCGGCCACGTGGGTGGTGGCAGGATGGAGCCCCGGCAGCTCATCTAGGAGCACAGGGAAGGGGGAGGATCTCACCACAGCACACCCCAGCAGAGGCCCCAGGGGCCACATGCATCCAGCTGCTGGGTGGGCAGGGGACAAGGCTCAGCCCAGCAGTGGAACACATGTGGCATCAGGGCACTCCTGGGCCAGCTGCAGTGGGGCATGAGGCACAAAGTCCAGCCCCCAATAGCAGCTGCCTCTGCTGTGCACAGATTGAGGGGGCCACATGCCCCCTCCAAAATGCCGGGCAGTGGGAGCATCTGCAGCAACTGTGAGGGAGGGAGGCAGGGAGTGGGGCTGGAGCAGGGGCAGGCCCTGCACAGCTGGGGTGCAGGACAGAACCATGAGCAGCTCATCTGGGGGCTGTGGAGAGGGAGGGCAGACAGCCCAGGATGGCATGGGGGGTGTGTGCTCCTGGATCTGCATACCAGCTGCCACTGCAGGTTGGGGCCAGGGCTGCACTGGGTGACACTGAGAGCGGGGCTATGCAGGGAGCTGCAGGCACCCAAAAATTCACCATAGCCCCTACATAGCGCCGTTTCTCAGCACTGCCACCACCACCTGGCCCAACTGCTGCAGTCTAGACTGCCACTGTGACAAGAACAGCACTGTCTTCCAGCCCCAGCCTGCCCCCACCCTGTGCAGATCCCAGGGGGGAAGGGGCGGGGCAAAAGGGAAGGCAGCACTGCACTCTTCAAGGGGAGTTGGGCTGCACTGTGTTCAGGCTGTGCAGCAGTGATGGTGCTCGGTGAGGGGGTTATGGGGGGCTACGGTGAAATTTTGGGTGCCTGCAGCCCCCCACATAGCCCCTTTCCCAAAGCCACTCAGTGCAGCCCCAGCTGCAGCCCACAGCAGCAACTGGCCATGCTGCCATGCAGATCCAGGGGCACATGTCCCCCATGCCTTCCCAGCCTGTGTGCAACCCCCTCCCCATGGCTTCCAGATGAGCCACTCATGGCTCCATCCCACACCCTGGCTGTGCAGGGCCTTCTCCTGCTCCAACCTCACTCCCTCCCTCCCTGCTGTTGGTGGGGGGCAAGTTGTGACCCCAGCAGTGAAGGAGGAAGTGGGGCTAGGGCTCGGGCCTTGATCTACCCCCCGCGCTGCCCTTTCCCCTTCCCCCACCTATTCCCCTACAGACTTACCTGCTGGGGGGGGCACACCGACAAATATTTTTTCTCCCCCTGTGTCTCAATGGCCCCCCCCCCTTCCCACCCCACAGACTTACCTGCTGGGTGAGGGTTTGGGGGAGGGGAGGTGGCAGCAGCACACAGTAGATCTTGGGTTGCTTTTAAATGCCAAAGTCGATCTCCTACTTAAGGTTGGAGACCACTGGTATAGAGCTTTTGATATGATTTTAAAATTTCCAGTGGAATTAATACATGATCTCTTTGATTTATAATCCCTGTATTTGGATTGTCTATCTCTCTCCATCTTGTTGTATTTTTGTGGACCTTTTAAAAAGTCTATCCTTTTGTTTGTTAAAGCCAAGGGTATTTTTCAGGGCCAACAGGCAGGATCCTTAATCCCCTATCAGCATTGGGCACCCTGGTGTATTTTGCCCTGACTCCTTCCAAAATAAATGTAGTTTATTTCACTTCCAAGGAGGATGAATCTGCTCCTGCTGTCGCAAACAAAAGCATCAGACTGCAGAGCTAGAATTCATAGCCAGCCCTGGTTATCTCTCACTCCCCGCATAGATTTCCTCCTGCTGACAGTAGCATGGCAGTTTTTGTCTACCTGCACAGCTCTATCTGCCTACAATAAGAAATATTAATTGTTTGCTCAGTTAAGTTTCTGTGTATTAATGTAGTATGTTCAAACCATGGCATTTCAAATGTGTCTGTGTGCATTAAGAAGAGGAGAATCCTAAAAATATATTTATTTAATAGTGAATTGCCTGTCAAGAATGACTGGGAACGGCAGGAGGAATGGAGCGCCGCCACCCACCACCCCTTGCTGCCACTGCTTCCCAGGAGTGGGGAAGGGGGAGAACCTGCACACAGCCGCCACCGCCACCCACCCCCCACACTGCTGCCATTCCACGTCCAGCTGTACACCACCCCTGCCCCCACTCTGCTCTGCATCCAGCCCCATGCCACCCCCACCCTCCCTGCTCCATGTTTGCTTGGTCCACTCCACCTGGCCTGCTCTGCTGGAGCTGCCTGTCATTCTTGACCGGCATTCTTGACACAGCACTGGCTGGAGCCATGTCCCTTTGGGAGCCGCACCCCCCAAGAGCATTACGGACAGACCGATAGGCACACAGACAGATGGACAAAGCCTTTTATATAGAGAGATATTAGACAGTGATACCTGGGAACCTGAGCTCAAGCACTAGGGGATATAAAATATTTGTCTCCTTTGCTAGTGTCCAGTGACAACCAAAGCTCTCAGGTCTTGAAGAGTGTAACCAAAGGGAAACTTCCAAGAACATGAAGAGCAGTGAGGGACCAGGCTCCTTCTGACCACTGGTGAGAGGCCCTTACATTCCATTTGTCCCTTAGAAAATTGCTTGTGTATATAGTGGGCACATGGATAATTTGAATTAGGGTAGCCTACACTTTTATTATCTTGTTCAGACTAATCCTTCACTCAGTCCAAGGATGTTATTCAAGACAGGAAGAATGCAAGAGCTGTTCCTAAAACAATATACACAATTTTCAGACAGTGCTGGTCAGTTTCTAGACATTGCTCCATGAATCTTGCTTTATTCACTACATCATTATGAAATAACAATATCAAATAGATGTAAGATGGGACTTTTAAATACAGCTAAGTGACTTAGTTTTATGCCCATGAAGTCTACATTGAGCTGTAGAGTTCACCTAGTTTACTTGTGTGACCAAACAATTACATAACATGTTGCAGTGCAGTGTCTCTCAAATGCTCATGTTAATGCCCTAAAGCTCTGTGTAGCACATTCAGGGTGTGGACAGAAGTAAAAGTTAGAACATTTCAAAGCGCCAGTCGTACAAACATACCCTTCGAAACATCCTAAAAGCAGCTGAAGTGTTTAAATAAGGTGCTACTTTGAAGCATTTCTTTTTTTGTTACTTGTGCACAGGGACAGGGAGGGACAACCTGAGAGTTGTCCAGCTGCCAGGCCCTGCAGTGGATCCCAGGGTATTGCTAGGTTTCCAATACCTCT